CCCATACTTATGTTATTGCCTTCCTCACCGTTCCACTGCGTCTTGGAACGTAATATTTTCCGATTTAGCCAGATTATCGCTCTCTGATAACAATTCAGGCAGTTGATTAATAAAGAAGTCAAATTATGTTCAAAAGGACAACCTTTACATGGCACAAGCTCTGTACAGTGAGGCTTAAATAACTGCGGAGATCTTAAGGTGACTCTTGTTGGCTCACTGATGTCTGGAACTTTGGTCTTATCAGTTCTCTAACCCCACCAGCAACTTATGGACAAGGACCGTTAAGCCAAGGCCATACAAAAATCGCTGCACCATTTGCCGACAGTTCTAGGAAAGCTGCCAGCTAGTTGCTTGACTACGGAGCTGCAGAAATGTCTGCTTCTGTAGGCCTTCCTGACCTCATTAGCGATGAAGGGTTCGTGCTCTGATAACTTGGAGACAGTGAACAAGGGCCTTTCTTTGGTCCCATCGGTGGAAGAATTATATTAGATTGTCGTTGTATTTAGATATCGCAACTATTCTAGCCAAGAACTATTCTAGCCATGTTACTAATGCCTGCTGTGAGCTAGGTGATCTTTTACGGCCCTATCCTATATTATATTACTTCACACTTTAATATTTTCTTCATGTCGTTGATACGTTTCTCGTGAATTATCATAATCAATATAATTTTGTGGTGACAAAAACAGCTTTCAGATAGCTGCCGCTAACAATTTGGAAATCATACCATTAGTGCAAACATTTGGTCATATGGAATTTATTTTGAAGCACACACGGTTTTCTCATTTGAGAGAAACCCCGTTCGCGGTATGTTTTGACTTTGTTCTTTTTTGATTTTGAATATCATGACTGGGCCTTATAGAGTGAGAAAATTCTCATTCGTAATATGATTCAAAGTGAAAGTTTTCAATATTTATTTTTGTGGGTCAACTTTTATTATATCAGTGGAATTCCGTGTTGGAATTCCACTGCTTTTCTCTTCCAATATTCTTCTTTACATCAAACTAATGAAATGGTGATTGTGAACTTTGTCTTTAAACGTCAGTCTTTCCATGTTTCTAGATCTCAGCCAAATGAGTTTTTTCTCTACGTATCCCAAGTCAACGCCTTCGTATTATTTCTCCGATAATTTAGGAGCACGAGATTTGATGCACCCCCTAAAGACATTCTTCAGGTAATATACCTATCGAAATCTTTTCAGTGCGAGGTGACCTATCTCAACAGAATGTGATACTTAATTAATATTTGAGTCTAACGACTAATTGCGATGTTCTTAAACATGCAAATTAGTTCCAGTTAAAAGTCGGTTTGTGTCTGAGAAATCCGTGTAGGCTCTAAAGCCTCTTGCCTCACTCTCCTGCACAAGGCATCGATGCCAGATCCTCGCTTATTTGATGGCTCACTGTTTTGTTCCTACGGTCCTGTTCCGATATTCGTCGAAAGCTCTAGTTATATCTCGCAGATTCATCCACGACATTCATAGAACTATTGATAAAACTTCGCCACCTAATACCCGCATGTCTTGCTTGTACTGGTCGCTCCGAAAAAATATGTTGGTTTGGTGTTCGCTATTTGCCTTAATTTTTACAATCACTTCCTAGCTATTGTCCCCTGCATTTTTGCCGGCGTAAATAACGCACTTCTGCACGTTGAGGCAAGGCTAAGCAGCTGCTTCACATTGTTCAATTCCTGCTCAATAACTTCTACATCCTTTCAAATATTAGGTTGTCCCATAATTAGTGAATCACTTTGGGTATTTTTGAATTCAAATTTTTTTCTTTTTTATGTGGAGTCTTTGCTCATCCAAACATACACCTCTGTCATCTACAATGTATTGCCTATACAAGGAAATTTTGTCGCTGTCTTATCTCTAGAATTCCAGGAGCTATTGATCGAAGAAAGATCGGAAGTCGAGTTTGAGGTCATGTCACTTAGCAGCGTAAGACCTTCTTTTGCGGAGGAATCAGCGCCCCTAGACATACAGAAATTATACGTAAGTTTGAGACTTGTTGGCACGAGGATAGGGCCACACAGAGGAAGTGAAAGAACTGCTAGCCTGAGAGTCTCCAATTTTTTATGAATATTCTCCGCAAGGTGGGGTCGAACGACCTCAGGAAAAAAGCAGACTTTGTCTTGCTTTACTTTCAAATTGAACGCGTCGCCATTACGCTGTAGATGTTGATCTTCTTCAGTGACTCTAGTATTACTAGGCGGCGGTTCCCAGCGCATGGTCACTCTCGTGCTCCACCCAATATCTTGAAGGGTCGCACTCGAAGGTGATTCGCCTTTTGCTGTCAGAACTCCCGAATACTTCATGCTAGGCCACTGCTTTTTGGAGATTTGCTAGTACACTTCACCCAAGTCCAGAACCTGGTGAATATGCTGGATGATCACTGTAAGGAACTAAGGGAGATCAGAGAGGAACATGATGATGTCAGATCGTGTGTGGAGCTGTTTCGGGCTCAGAGCATACAAGATACAAACTAAATATTTTAAAATCTTTACAACTCTACGTAGATGTCTACATTCCATCATTTTAACAAGTCGGACATGCTCTAGCAAAGGCGACTAGTTTGTCCAGATCCACCCTCAGTGGCGCTGGGTACAGCAGTGAGATTGCCAGTTGAGGGGTAGTTGGAGTGTGGGTCATCTTCAACTAAAAAAGCCAACCTCTCGATAGAGTGAACTACAAGCAGACCGTGGATTGAGGGAGCGTGCCCTCGCCTATCCGCTGGTTGATTCTCTATGTTGTTGGGCGTTTGAAAGATCCTAATCAGAAGTGATTAAGAAGGGAGCTCAAAAATAGGTTCCAGAAAAATTGAAATATCAGCCACGGAAGGCAGCATGGAAATGGGCTGAGTAATTGCTCAGGTAGGATAATGTGGATGCTACTTCGCAAAACATGTTTCACGCCTTCACCATTTTTCTTGGATTTTTAATAACAATAAATGTAAAGTGATTCACTAATTATGGGACAACCTAATATTTTCTACTCCTTTTCTTTGTTTTCTTTATTCTCTTCTTATAGCATTTGTATCGTCTATACTGCTGCTCTGAGTGAGATCAGTGCTAGTGTAACCTTGGAAACTTAATTCTAATCTACGGGACATCAGGGGCGGAAGTGGCGCTGGTTACTAACGCGAGCGATCCGGGGATCAAATTAAATCCTGGGTGTGCGTGGTTTGGAACCGACCTAACCTTCCGTTCCCCGGGGATCGGCTAATTTGGCATCAGACTTGTGTGGGAGTATAAAAACAGTCTTGTACATCGGCTGCTCTCCAAAAGCAATGTGTGGCAAATTGCATCGAATTGTCAAACTCACGACATTGAAATGGACAAGTAGAGCGTGGCACATACGCAATACGGGATTGGCCCAACGCCGAATGCTTTATCCTTTTCATCGTTCCAAACCTCGGGTAAGCTGATGTGCTATTTTATCCATAAAGCCAAATAATATAGCGATTCATAAATTTTGCTACTCTTGCTATTTGGTCAGAATGAGAATCGAGAATGAAAGTTTATCTGACAACGCTTAGCTTATGGTTAGTTTAGCCGAATAGGTTGTAGATCGTGGTAGATGATTGGTCCCACTCAATTTTCTCTGTCATTTGTCAACGTTCTTATGGCTTTCTGAATAAAGCTACTTCCTGTCACACAATCATCATCATCCTCTCAGTTTAATCATTTGTCAATCAGAGCGCTACATAATATTTGCGCTAGAGGTAGCGGGATTGTAGAAATTCGCATTCATACACCACTTATCAGTCCTTCTCGACAGTTATCCGTTTACCACCAACATTCTGATTTTGTGTTCCCGGCACCCTTTAAGATATGTGGGCTCCAACATCCCACTGTAGCCGCTAATGGTGCAACGAATTTGGTCACATCAACATTCTAATACCACTAATACGCTGTTATCGGTTGTTATCACTTTCAATCTGTGCCTCCGTCCAACTCCCCATACAAGCTCCAATTTTACCACGAACGGCGCAACGAGAATAGCCGTGCTCATAATTTGCTATCAGTTTTTGTCGCCCAACATCTGTGTTCCCGTTCAGCCCCCTGTATTCAATTTCGCACCGCTGCTGCAACGCGTTTGATGAATTTAGTTACCCTGGGACGTATGGGCGTAGGCCGCAAACGATATAGCGCTTTGTATATAGTAGGAATGCTTTCTAAAAGTTCTTGATGTTTTAGGATGATACGATATGTCCGTCGGATGAACGTTCAATTGAGCTTATAGAAACCATGGTTAATCAGGTTCGTAGAAAAATCAATCCGGCCACTCTAATTTTCTTCACCCGGCTTAATTTCTGCTTACCAAAGCAATTTTTATTTCCTAAAAGGGACTGTTTATAGGTTCGTGCGCTCCACCCAAAGTCGAAACGTATACATATTGGTGCTGATGAGGCATTCCATATCGCTGAGGATGATCGATGCCGTGCTCGTATCTCTCAAATGGGATTATCCGACCAGCGAAGAGCAACTGAAAAGCTTAAACTTGCTCACATAGCCAAGTAGGTACTACGGCTTTCAAAAGATTGTTCGAGTCAGTTTACTTCTTCGATGAGGTCCAGAAAAGTATTTGCGATTTTTAGGGTGGCGCGAATTGCAAAAGGCGCCGGATTCAAGGAGGTTTTCGCTTGGAATGATATGTTCGATAAGTCGCTGGTAGAAGATATTCGTGCAGCTGGACTGGGAGATTTGATTATCCCAGTTGTTTGGGGCTACAAAATTGATGTCACAGAGGAAGGATATTTCCCACCGGGACTGTTCGAAAGGCTACCTCAGGTGAGTTATAAATGTTTAAGTGATGTTTTAGGAAAGATGAAGGGTTCTAACTATTGACCCGTGGCCTCAACGGATTCTAAGGAAGGGAGAAAGGAAGGATGGGTGCAGCGTTGACTTATTCATACCCATAACAAGCATCTTTTATTATTTTGATTTTCGAGAGGTTTTACTGGTCTGCTTTCTTTGGAAAAATTTGGACTACTTTCGGCGACTCGAAGTACCGCACCACATAGTGCGCTCCTCACCCTCCCCCGAATTTAGTTGCGCTTGAACCTGCAATCTTTATTTTTATCTTTATCTAAAGGATCGTCAAGAATGCTCTAGAATTATCAATGGAGCGGTTATTTCATCATATCTCATGATGGCATTACGGTTATTTCATCATATCTCATGATGGCATTGATTGCACTTTTCTTCATATTTGAAAAGCTGACGATGCTTTCTCGAACAAGATTTTGCCATTCCGATCTCCGATTTTAGGCCCAACTCACGTTTCCTTTTTATTAGTCACAGTCTGCCTTTTTTGAAACATCCCACGATTAGTAGAGTGGAATATTTCCTTCCGTGAGCGAATACACAAGGTTTTGATAACTGTTTTTGCCGATTTCCCGACCCGAAAGACAACGACGAAGTCGCTAGATGCTCATGTGGGCTGGATCGCCATTATGGTCGAGTTCGCTTTTCGACTAAGACACTGTCAATTGCAATGAGATTAGGAATAACTGGGCCTGACAAAGAGGAGGCTATTAGGGGAAAATGGATTTTGCTGAAGTTAAGATGAAGTCAGTGAGCGAGACCTACATATATACAGGGGTGGCCAAAAAAAGAGACACTTCACTCCACATTTCAGACAGCATTAATCACACTTTGCTAAATCAAATCGACTGCCCCAACTCAGTATTAAAGAGCACATTCTAATCTATCTAAAGTTACATGACAGCCTTCTACACCGACGACATCAGAAGATTTTCCCACGGAAACATGGTTCACGGTACGAGCTCAACGAGGTCGTCGAGGTACCATAGACCATTACGACGTCCCTGAAACGCTGGTCAAAAGCGGTCTTGCATAGTCACAGCTAATGTCTCTAGGAAGCTATTCCAGTTAATCCATTGAAGAAATTATGTAGCAGCTTCAGGCCGGAGCGATTACGGTAAGCCTCGTTGAGCTCGACGGTGACGGCAGATGACGTCATATTCTGAAGACGGCGGGGGCAGTGAAGGAGGGCCTGCTTCTGCTTACGGGGGAACACCTAAGGAATATTCTGCCGTAAACTTTCATTAACATCGGCTCCCTGTGCGACGAAAAGTTCGATGATGTGCGCCATGGGCAAAGTGTCT